ACGAGTATCACCACTCGTCTGCACCGCAGGACAGATACTGTACTAATTGTGACATTCAATTCAATTCGTACAACACTTATAAGGTATCACTCAATCAATCTATTTATTTATTTGGCACTTAATTATCCGATTTCAATAGAAATTGTGTGTCTTTTGATCTCATCGTGTTTTTCTGGCGATAAATCAGTTATTTTTCAATTAATTACTAAAATCAGTGAATAATCCGTTGACTTCAACGTCTATATTGTTGTTGTCTTAACTGAAATGTTAGGAAAAAAAGTTTTTCTGTCGATTAGATTGTGTCGAGTGTTAGGCATTTTAGGCGATAGGAAAGAGGGGGTAGAAAAGCGGGTCAAATTTAAACATATAGATCTAGTTTGCAGATTAGATACCCATATAATAGCGAAAAAGTGACAATTTTATGTACATTTTCGTACCCCATATTCACTATTCACTAATATATTCGCATAATTCCTATAGAAATGTTGTATTATTATCATAACTAAACTCTAATATTATTTATAATATTGTTTATCAGATTTTTCTCTCTCGCCGTCTATTTATCTCTCGTTTGNAATTAATCTGAACGAAGTCTACCAACAAATACCACGTGTATTAGCGTTAAATATCACTCAATTGTTCATTAATTAATTACATTATTTAAATTTTATAATTACAATAAATGCTAAGCAGTTATGTATTGCACAGTAATTTATCATTAACTGGTGGTAGACTTGGATTCAGCTTAATTGGTCTCATTGTTTGGGCCCCTCAATAGATCTGGCCTTAAATACATTTGAATCAATAATTAAAAATTAATTTCCCCTAAATTTGGATTTGATTTACAATTAAATGATTACTTTTTAATTCAATTCTGACATTTAATTTCTAATTTAATTATTAACCGGTTGTGTTTGTATTTTATATGAATTCCTATGGATTTTTTAAAAAAAAGTAATTTGTACATTGAAATAACCATAATGTTTGTTTGGTGTCTAAATGGCTATAAATTATATAATTATTTGAAAACACATAAATACAGTAAAATCGGTATAATTACTGTCCAAACAATGAATTGATGTACATTTGATAGTTTTGATTGATATAACATTTTTATTTGGTGTGAATCTTATATATTAATTTGAAATAAACTTTTTTGTTGAATACAATGGGTGTCAATGAAATGCCACGAAATAAGACTTTAAAGACATTTATCACTAATAGTCATAACGTTATGTGTGTTTGTAATCATAATTAGCGGTTTAATAATATATACAATTTGAATGGCATGTGATGTTAGTCTACAATATTTGGTGTCATTTTGACGACATGTTAATTGAGGGCCAATTGTTGTTCGTGTGATTGAATGTTGGATTCGTTAGTATGTGATGAACAGTAATACTTCTTATGGGCTATAAAAGAGGCCAAATAGTTGAACGATATATCACACGATCGACAGTATTTGGGACCGACCTTCTTGTTGGGCGCCGGCAACAGTTGATTGGCGGCCATCAGCGGTGAGTTCACCAGAATATTGTTCAACGGAGAGCCGCACTTCGACTTGCGGTGGCTGTGCGGCGACGAACCGGACTTACTATTGGGCGACACAATCAACGGTAACGGCTTGAGGGGCGGCTCGTCCGCCGACGACGACATGTGCTCGTCTGCGCTTTGCTGATCGCTGGACAGCGCCGACTGATGGCTGTTCTCCTCGTTGTCGGTGAACTCCTTCTTCACTCGATCGGCGGGTAATGACTGTGTGAGCGAAGGGGGCGGCGAGTGTCGGCTCACCGAACCGGATGTCGATCGGACCAAATCCTTGTGCACGAGTTTCACGTGTCGGACAACGTTTCCCTTATAAGTGCTCGAATAGTAGCAGAACTGGCAGTTGTGGGTCATCTCCGACGACGACTGGGCGCCCAATGGCGAGCTTTTGTCCCCATTCTTGAGCTCCACTTTCACCCCCAACTCGCTGTCCGTACAGTTGGCTCCGTTGTCCTCGGCTTCGCTCAGTCGGGTGTCGTTACTCGAGGCGACCGACGCGTTGCTGGCCTGCGATTGGGACTGAATTGTCACACAATTGTTGACCGTTTGGGCCGCCGGTTGCGGATCCACAGAACGTCGCCGACGGGATCCGGCCGTCCCTCTCACCCCTCGATTGGGTATGTCTTCGTCTATGCAGGCGATGAACGTCTCTTCGGACACGCCGTGCAGTTTGTCCGCATGTATGCGCACGTGTGTCCGCATTCCGCGCAATGTATGGCCTTTATAGCCGCAAATCGTGCATTTGAAGCACTGCATGGTTAGAGCGCCCGACTTTTGGCCAGAATTATGATTATATGTATTGTTTTGATGGATAACTAAATCTGAACAGACGTGCGCTAACAGTGTCTCCTCATTAACGTAAGTGGCCTTACATTTGGCGCAATGAAACTCATTGTGTGGTTCAGTGTTGGGCAGTGCAAAGTCGGCCAAACCCTCGCTCAGGGCGTCGGCGTTGGCGGCGGAGCCGGGAATGACATTACGTTTGAGACAGTAGTAGGTTTGGTGGGCGTGAAGGTTGTCCAGAGACGTGAATTTAATACCACAGGCGACACAATAGAACTGAAATACCGGGGGCTGAGGGTTGGGAGGGGAGGGCGCCGGCGATGTGGTGGTCGTTGATCGGGCCGGCGATGACCTGTTGGCCGTGGAGTACGGGTGAGCGTTTGCCGCAGACTTGGTGTCATTCTGGAGCTCCGGTGAGCTATTGTGGGACTCGTCGGCCATGTGTTCGGGCGAACTCCCGGTGCTGTCCATACGTCTGGACGCGCAATACAGCCGTTTGTGGACCAAATAGTTCTCGTGCTTATAGAAGACGATATTACACTCATTGCAGCGACTCTTTCCCTGTTTGACCACAACATCGACAGTCGGCAGAGCGCCAGCAGCCGATCCCATCAGAGCCGACAGCTCCGGGTTCACTACAGGCGGCGGCGAACACGTGGATCGGGTGTTGCACTCGTCCATTGAGTCCGCGTCCGTCAGTCTGTGGTGTTTACTACGTTTGGCCGCATTATTGTCGTCATTATTGGGTCGGCTTTTGGTGTATTTGGAGCTGAGGTCGAGGGGCTGTTCGTCGGCCGACGACTGGTTATTGTGTGTCTTCGCGGGTGAAGTGGTCTTCGGTTGTCGTGTCTTATTATGGGCTTCCGATGGACTCGTATTGGCGGCCGCTATAGACGTGTTGAGCGATGAGATTAAACTGTTGGCCGACAGGACATCCGTGGGTACTGTGAATGGGGTTCCCATTGCGGTAATGTTGGGCGCGATGAGACCGCCCTGTGTTGTGTTATATGAGCATGGTACTAATATTAGTGGATTGGTCGATATGGCGATATACACGGGTTGACTTAGAAGTGGGGCGGCGTTGGCGGCGCCACCGATAGCACCGACGGCTGCGGCGGTCGCGGCGGCCATCGATGGCATAATAAACGGCACGCCATTCGCGGCGATCAGTTTGGAAAAGTTTGCGGCCGTATTGTTGGCCAAGCGTTGACTCCCAGCGCCGGCCGCAGTGCCCGACGTGTAGCCATCCGTTTCGCTATTATGAGATCGTTTACGGGTGGCGGCCGTCGGCGCCGCGCCTGTCGTCATAGATGTCGGCGATGAATATTTAGGGTTATGCCGACCTCCACAGTACAGATCTTTGTGCACCTGTTTATTGTGTGAAACACATTGTTTGTTAGAAATATTTGTTGACATTAGATATGTGTTTGAATTGAATGATTATTTTCGTGTTTAAAGTCGTCTAAAATCATATCGTGTTTGAAAACTGAGTTTTAAATACATGTATAAATAGAGACTGTTTTGAGCGATAAAAGTGTTATTTAAAAATAGATAACCATATTCTGGGCACTGATTATTCACTCCCAATCTCTATGTATATGACGGCCGGAAATTGAACGAAACTCTTCTTCTTATATTGTGGGCAAAAACTTCATTAAAATTTCACTTTTTGTCTGTCTTTTTAAACACAAAACTTGGAGATTATAAAAAACAACCTCTCATTGAACGGTGCGTTCAGTTTTAATCAGATAATTCATTATTAAAATTTCAAATCTAGTCTCCGATAAACTATTTAATTATAATATAAAACTAATATTCATATAATTAATACTGAATTGAAAGAAATCTTAACCAGATATTTATACCATATATTTCCGTTAATCAGTGAAATGTGTGAAATATGTTTTAATCAGTTTATAACTAATTCATGACTGAATCTATAAAAATGACAAAACACTGCTAACTATCGTATATAATGTATAGAAAAATTCTTGTCTTTGAATTTCAAATACACTGCAAACGAGAGATAAATAGACGGCGAGAGAGAAAAATCTGATAAACAATATTATAAATAATATTAGAGTTTAGTTATGATAATAATACAACATTTCTATAGGAATTATGCGAATATATTAGTGAATAGTGAATATGGGGTACGAAAATGTACATAAAATTGTCACTTTTTCGCTTTTATATTGGTATCTAATCTGCAAACTAAATCTATATGTTTAAATTTGACCCGCTTTTCTACCCCCTCTTTCCTATCGCCTAAAATGCCTAACACTCGACACAATCTAATCGACAGAAAAACTTTTTTCCTAACATTTCAGTTAAGACAACAACAATATAGACGTTGAAATCAACGGATTATTCACTGATTTTAGTAATTAATTGAAAAATAACTGATTTATCGCCAGAAAAACACGATGAGATCAAAAGACACACAATTTCTATTGAAATCCGATAATTAAGTGCCAAATAAATAAATAGATTGATTGAGTGATACCTTATAAGTGTTGTACGAATTGAATTGAATGTCACAATTAGTACAGTATCTGTCCTGCGGTGCAGACGAGTGGTGATACTCGTTGTCGTCGCTCTCATCGGTGGTCGTGAGGCCCGCCATATGGCTGTTGGTATGTTTGGCTCCGATGTTGTTAGTAATGGTATTGTTGTTGATGTGATGGTGTGGTGCGGGTAGTGGTGGTGACTGTCCGGCTGGCAGTGCCAGCGATGGGTGCAATGACTTGATATGTTTTAAGAGGAGGGCCTTCTTATCGGTGTCATAACCGCATGTCTTACAACTGTAAACGTTTCCAGTTTTGCTGTATTTGGCGACACCAGAGGTTGGCGTGACTTTGCCTCCGCCGGTGCCCATCGCCAGAGCGGTTCCGCTATCGTTGTTATGGCCGCGAGAATCGAGTTTTGGCGCTTTGTCTGACTGTTCGTCTTCCGACTGGATCTCGCTATCAATGATATGCTGTTGTCTGCCATTCATATGTCTCACTAGTTTCGCATCACTTGACTTGGACTCCGAGTGCTGACCGCCAGCGCGGGTCACATCCGGCCTCTTATGGCGGCGACTGTCTTCCGGTGACGAAGACTCAGTCACTTCTGGCGATTAAGACATCAAAAAAATATTATTAAAATGTAATGAAGTAATCGTTCGACAGATTGTAAACGTATAATCAAATCAATGAATATATTAGAGGAAAAAAAGTTGTTTTTATGATAAAATTGTCTTTTTATTCGTTGAACACAAGCGTATATTTTTATGACTCCCTTCGGAGAACCTGTTTAGACCTATCGCTCGGCAATCAAATCAGACTAAATAAAAAATCCCAAAAAACGCACTCAAATCCCATTCCTAGGCGTATAACCAAACAACCTATCGGTAGATCACATCAGTTCCCATCCAAATACATGAATGCTTATCTCACAGTTTTCAATACATTTAACAAATAAACTATTCATTTAATATAAATATATATATGAATATAAATCAAAAAAGTGGAGAAAAGATTTATTTTTGCTAAAAAAGGAGAGACAGAGAGAATGGACGGTATGGCTGAGAGATAGATAGGATTGTGAAAGGGCTGTGCGATTGCTTACCCCCGCTATCATGACTTGACATATCATTTGTATAAATCGATGCATTTCTCTGATTAACGCCATTATCGGCACTTATTATATAATTGGTATTATCTGTGGTCCGAACCCCACCCTTGGATTCCCTGTGCGGCCAAACGCCGTGGCCTTTGGTGTCGTTCCGCGTGCGGCCATTGTTCGCACGATTCACGCAATAGTAGGTCTGGTGTGCGCTCAGCGTATCTGTCAATATATACGTGTATTAATATCACAACAACAATAATATTAAGCAAAATTAAATATGATTTTTCAGACACTTAGCCATGAATTTTATATGAGATGTGAGACAAGCAATCAATAGATATAGTATTAAATAATAATAAAAAAGTTCGTGTATTTCATGCTATTAGTGCATAACGTATTGTAAAGGATTAGAAAAATGAATAAAATATTTGAGGGAAAATTTTGACAGCAAAATAGTGATCGGGATTAAAATGCTATCATTCAAAACGATGTGTTTATGAAATCCGATTGTTATTATCAATGATTTTTCTCGCTGTGAATCTTTGCATTATTTATCTCTGCAATGGATTTGCAAATTAATGTTTAAATTAATCTTTACATAAAATTTCTAAAAACATTTAAAATGTTTTATTCACTCATTTCTGTAAAGATTGTCATAACTTACTATTTGATCATTTTGTCTGTTAATCTATGACATAATTAATTGCAAATAAATACATAAATCTAATAAAACGGTGAAATGCAGCGAAAATTTAATGTTATGAAAAAGCTTTTCACATAATGAATGAATACATAAATGAATGAACGAATGCATCGATTGCTATGAATAATGTATAGACTTATTGTGTCTATAATTACATAATTAATGCAATGAAAAACAAGCATGAGCATTTATGATTGAATTAAGTTTAATTTTTTTGGGAGCATAATTCCCATCATACATATGAATTGAATGCAACCAAAAATTTTAAACAAACATTTTATCAAATGAAAAATCATAAACTATTTTTAATGCAACGAAAATGAATATATTTGCAAAAAGCGCTGAATATTCTGTAAATAATAAGCGAATAATACAGTACTTAAGCTATGGTTTACAGATTCACACATATATAATATGAAGACATTAAACTTAAAGTTGCGATTATTTCATCAAATTGTGAAATAAAATGAATTACAGACAAGAATTTTATAGAAACAGATATTATCACTACTTTTATATCAAATATTTGAATATAAAAATAAAGATGATGCTTTTTATTTTGCTCGCTGCCGATCCCCTTATATATACTGTTTAATATCAAAGAGGTCTCAAAGTTTATGGTACTTAAGCAAAAAAGTTGTGTTAAGTATTATATGTCTGTTTGAAACCCAAAAAAATGTTTTATATCTCTTAATTACAACTTTTAACTCTGGGTTTTTGCGGGCAATTCATGTTCGGGTCATTTGATTATATAATATGCAAAACGAGTCAAACGTGCAAAATATCCTATTTCTTAGGCATTCATGTCTTCATTAAGTTTATGCACTTTTTATTTGTATTCAATGTAAAGATATTTGCGAAATAAATATCTGAATAATTCATTCATATAAAGAAATATTATTCAACATAATTATATTCAAAAAACTACTAACTTCATCATTTTGACTGCAAAATAAATGTTACCATAAATTAAAATATTAATATCCATTCAAACGAAACTTAAAATATGAAATAAATTGTTAAGTAATAATTGATAAAAGGAAATAATGAAATCGTAGGATCGAGAGAGAGAGAGAGAGAGAGAGAGAGAGAGAGAGNATGAAATCATAGGATAGAGAGAGAGAGAGAGAGAGAGAGAGAGACTGGTTGAGTGCAGTTAATAGGTGTATATAAAACATAGGTTTTAATACAAAGAAACGGGACTTACCTTTACATGAGAAAGCTATACCGCAGGGAACACATGTAAAACCTATCATTCAAAATATCAGATCCAATATATTAATAAAACTCAAATCTTAATGTTTAGGCCGTAAAGTAATAAAATGTAGCGTTTTTTAATGTTTAATATACTGTATCTACTGTACAGGCATTACAGGTGTGCTCTAGTATTATATCTACGGTAATATGATGTGTAGTCTTACGAGGTGTCGTGCAATAGTGTTTAATGAGTATTATATGTCTGTATATTCACTATCATATGTTTGTTCATTAAAGAGACAGTTCCTGACAGTGTGTCCCAACTCAAGAAGGAAAGTGCAAATCAGGGCATTATTGCTAATATGAAATCATTTCTTAAGACAATGCATAACAACTAACACTCAATACATTTAGTTAATTGGCAGTGAATTGCCTATAAATTACACGTCTGTATGCGAGACACAAATAATAATCATATTATAATTGATAAGAGAAATTGGGTTCAGAAATAAATCATTTTCAGCGATAAATATTAAATGAATATCTCTTTTAAAATTCAATTTCACTGCGAATAAGATTGTGAGCGAAAAAATATTATCACTTATTTTTCTTCTTTCTCTCTGTGTCTATACTATGCTATCAATTATTATAAATTATTTTGTCTATAGAAAAGCAAAAACTTATTCACTAAACTTTTTCCCTTAAAAATAAATATTAAAAATACACCAAAAATCCTATTGAAAAGCCTGTGGGTAAGACTGGGTGTCATATTTTTAACCACAAAGAAACATGTTAAATTATATTTTAAATAATAGCTCTATTAATGGCTATACTATAGGTTATTATAATCGCAGAATAAACACAGAATATATTGAATCTATTGTATGGTCTGTAAAATCGGTGGATGTATTGTGTGGTTGTCTGTAGTGAATGGCATTTATCTTACAGTCGTCGTCGACTTCCAGCTCTTCTTCTTCGTCGTCTTCAGGCAAACTGTTAGCAACCGATCCGTCTTCGTCTTCATCGTCCTCCACATCAGTTGTCTCGCAATTAGCGCTGTTGTGGTCGTTGTTGTTGTTGTGGTTGTGATGACTGTTATTGCTATTGTTGTTGCCGTTGTCTCCGATGTCATCGATGTCTTTGTGAGCGGTGTCTTCGCGTGAATCGCTCGCAAACTTTATCGGTTCCCTTATTCTGACCTCAATTGATGGCGAGATATCGCATAGTATTGTACACCAGAGCTGACCATCTGTCACAACAATAGATAATAACAATATTTATATAAATATAAGACAAACTCCTAAATAACAATTGATTCATCAGTCGTTAACTTATATCTCATTCACTCATTAGCGAAGAAAAAGCATTTTTATTGTCACCAAAATCTATGCCCAAACGCAGACATTGGGAACCGTTTGGTATTTAAGCTAACCATTGATTTATTATTATTGTTATTCGTTGTGATTATGACTAAGATATTGATAAGAAGTTTATTTTTTTTCGCTACAAATTAAGCTCTTTTATGCAGATATAGTGTTATCTATTAATTCTGTAAATGATTTTCAATAAAAAATAATGTTTCTTGATTTAAAATTACTTTTACAAAAATATTCACAGAATCCATACAACAGGCTATGGATAGTTAGTACCATATGTTAAATGAAACAAAACAGTATTTTAAAATTAATTGATGTAAAGTTTTTAAAATCTAATACTAATTAATGAATTAATAAATGATAATAATTTTAAATCACGATTTCAAGAGACATATCGCGATCTATAGTGTAAAAGCAATTAAATTTGTTATTTAATTAAATATTTTAATCATTGTATAAATAAACAGATTAAAATGATGTATATCACAATACTGCATGGATACTCAAAAACTAAACTACAAATAATTTATAAGTCTTAATAATTATTTAAAGGTTATAATAGTTAAATAAATGTTAATCCATTTGTTACTATTTGGCGCAAAAATTTCCACACATTTCCACTTCTCATACGATATAACGATAAGATTATTAATATATAAGAAATCATTAAAGCTATCAGAAAATCATTGGTTAAAATATATTTATACTTTACATTCAAATAATTGCATTAAATATATATTACATTAACTTATAGTGAATTTCTTTGTTTATCTGATTTTTTCATCATTTAATTACGGAAAAATTCACTCTTCTCTATGTTTGAGTACACATTTCAAGTACTATAAGAACCATTGGATATGCTCTCTCTCTCTCTCTCTCTCTAATTTACTCAACACTCACTCACTTTTGGCATGATTTTAACGATAATATCACTGAATTGAGTGCTTATGATATGAATTATTTAAATTGAGAACTGATTACAAATTTATAACACAAGCAGTCATTGAAATGGCATTTCATAAGCGCTTTCAGTGAATGCCGTGAAAAGCAATGAATGAATAAAACTGTGATTTATTTATACAGAAAACAAAGAATTTCTTTTAAGTCACTAAATTCTCTCTCTCTCTCTCTCTCTCTCTCTCTCTCTAACTCACTTTCACCTCATTTGAACGTTTCGAGTCTGATATAAATGTAAGAAATATTTAATCAAAAAATATATATAATGTAAAGTATTATAAGTAAAACATAATAATATCTCTTTCTAATACAAGTACTGAATATCTATTTTATTCTTTTAATTTAATTTTTGACAAAAAGCCAAATGAAACTCAAGAATGCGATTAAATTATATGAAAAGATTTCATTCATAGATAAGTGGCTTTTGATGATAAGTTTTGATGCATTTTTTATTCGCGCATACAATCAATACTAAAGCCTCGAGTTTTAAATACACACCGATTATTATAACAGCGATTAGAGCGCTGAATACAATGCTATCAAAATAAATCGATTCTGTATTTCATTTTATCAGAGAATCGCTAATTCTATACTGATTTCAATACATAACACCAAACACTGAAAATACAGCACAAAATGCAATATAAAAACACACAAATATAGTGAAGACAAAACACCAATCGATTGTTAGACTCCCAAAAAAAAACTTTACTTTTGCCATAGATTTAAATAATATCTCTTTCTCTTATCACACGACACACAGAGAGCTGGAGATTGGCTTAAATATAATTATGAAAAATTATAATAAGTTAATATCAGAAACAGAGATATAAATGCTTATATTTTTTGGTATATAAATTCAAAACTGATATATAAAATAGATATGAAATTATCAGATTCTATTTTATTCTTTTAATTTAATTTTTGACAAAAAGCCAAATGAAACTCAAGAATGCGATTAAATTATATGAAAAGATTTCATTCATAGATAAGTGGCTTTTGATGATAAGTTTTGATGCATTTTTGATTCGCGCATACAATCAATACTAAAGCCTCGAGTTTTAAATACACACCGATTATTATAACAGCGATTTGAGCGTTGAATACAATGCTATCAAAATAAATCGATTCTGTATTTCATTTTATCAGAGAATCGCTAATTCTATACTGATTTCAATACATAACACCAAACACTGAAAATACGGCACAAAATGCAATATAAAAACACACAAATATAGTGAAGACAAAACACCAATCGATTGTTAGACTTCCAAAAAAAACTTTACTTTTGCCATAGATTTAAATAATATCTCATTCTCTTATCACACGACACACAGAGAGCTAGAGATTGGCTTAAATATAATTATGAAAAATTATAATAAGTTAATATCAGAAACAGAGATATAAATGCTTATATTTTTTGGTATATAAATTCAAAACTGATATATAAAATAGATATGAAATTATCAGAACAAAAAATTAAGCACAAAAAGCCTTGAATTGAAATCACATTTTCCAATAGAAGTGAAGCTCAGAGAAAAAAACAGCCAAAATTAATTATTTTGATTTTTATTTCACTTTTATTTAAGTTATCATTTAATTTCATGAAATATTCAATTGAATTTTAATGTGAGATTTGAAAGCAATTCATACTATAAATACTGTAAGTGTTTCGGGCGTTAGTTTCGGATCACAGGACAGTTCTTCATATACTATACTTTTGATCCCCGGATTTGTTTTTGCCGTTTATTAACACAAATTTGTAATCAGTTCTCAATTTAAATAATTCATATCATAAGCACTCAATTCAGTGATATTATCGTTAAAATCATGCCAAAAGTGAGTGAGTGTTGAGTAAATTAGAGAGAGAGAGAGAGAGAGAGAGAGAGAGAGAGAGTCATCAATGTCATATCAAATAACAGAGAATATATTTAAATATATTCATAAATGTATTAATTAATAAAATTTTAAAAACAATTCTCAGTCTTATAAGTCATTTTCTAATCGATTGGATATAAAACTTGTTTATAAAAACATCGATTAGATTATATCCATAAATAATTTTTCATTCAAAAAACTTTTCATAACACTATCCATAGTCTCATGTGATTTAAACATTATTAAAATATAAATTCATAAACCATTTATAGTATACATTAGCCCATAAGTGGCCCATATAATCAATTTAGTTACTCAACAACAAAAGAATATCCGTTTAATACCTGTTGAAACCCATATGAAATCCGCCTCAACTCCTAAACTAAATTTGTTTTTATTACCATATTATTTATTTTGTACTTAATATTTATTTCATTAAATCCCAATCAAATACACTAATAAACTGAATTGAATAGTAAAAACTTTGTTATATAAAATTGGTTTATTGGAGGTTTACCTTCGCACCGGACGGTGGCATTTGGTTCCCTATCCTTATCAACAGTTCTGAGTATTTTAAGCCATTCGCCGGACTCTTCTTTGAGGCGAACCGTCATTCCTGTGGAGTCGTCGTTAACATCGCTTTTGGGGCAACGATTGACAACTTTATTGCACTCGTCTGGTGGCGGGGATCGGGTGTCAGCTCTCGGGCTCACTATCTCTGCCTTAAAGGGCCCAAACTTCGTGTCTTTACTCAATAGCTTTTTGGCGCAAACGATATACGACTCAATGCCGTCGTTCGGATGCTCGTCGTCGGCGCCCGAGTCCTCCGTCAGCGCCGTTAAAGTCAACTGATCTTCGGGTAAATGTAAGAGCACTGCCCTATCGGCCAGACATTCAGAGGGTGAGCCTGTTTTGATGGCAACAGATAATTAGCAACAAATCAATAATGTATTACTTGTTTCAATACAATCTAGTAATCAAATAAAGTTTT